GAGGTGAATTATATTATTTTACAAATTATAATATACCAGTATACAGTGTGTCCCCGAATCGGATTTCCAATAGGAAAAACTTTTTTAGACCTGATACAGTTAAACCGAGCACGGATTTGGAATCTAAGACCAAAAATTATGTTTCCCTGTCCGAGCGTTTAGCTGTGATATTTCAAAAGTTAAAAATTTACCTACAGTGTTATTTACCCTTTAAAAATTGTTAATTTTTAAATTAAATTATCCTCAGCACCCCCTGTATGTTAAAAACTAAACAAAATTTTTCATGGATTAATTGTTATTAGTAAGATCTACACTTTGTCCAATTTTCAAATCGATACGTTTTGAAATAAAAAAGTTACCTATTATAAAAATTAAATTACTTCAGTTTTAACACAGTGAAGAAAAAAATATAAAAACAAAGTTTTTTTTAATTACTGCATTTAGATATAGAAATAAGGTAAAAAAAGTTTCAATCGATTTCTTGAACCCTTGCAAATCGACCGTTAATGTAACCGTAATAAAAGATTTTACCATCCTGTTGTAGTTTGCTAATCAAGAGGTAGATGAGATAAAAAAACCTGGATGAATAAACACTATTACAATTTGAGAATAGAACTGTCAACAAAGAACAAACAAACGTAAGTAGTTCATTTCACATTTTATTCCAGGACTTCAAGCATGTGGGGCACGCCTCTCTAGGGGAAGTAAAGAGATGTGTTTGGATAATCCAAAGAAAAATCCATGCGACACTAATTAATTCATTCGGTCAAAATTAAAAGGGGGCATAATTATATCTTTTATAATACGGGGAGGCTCAACGCAAAAGAGGTTGGGAATCCCTGCTTAATTCCATATATGGTTTATTTTTGTTTTTAGGCGCTCCTAGAGACTTGGCATGTTTAGAGGCCCCCGTAGACACTTTTTATATTTCCCATTTTTTGCCGCGGCAGTTTATTAATTTATTAAGGTTTGTATAGAGCTTTATTTTTTATTTTAAATATAATTGGATCATTTCATAAGATTTTTTTTATAAAAATATTAAGAAAGTTTTCATTTTAAAATGTACTTACTTTTGAATCACACCAAAACCACAAAAAAGTTTGTGGCTGTAGAAATGTAAAAATTGGGGATAAGCTTTTAAATTTCTTATAACTTATAAAATAATATATTATAAACTTCGATTGTTAACAATATTATTGACATGGAGTTAATTATATTACAAGGGTTACGAGGGTTTTAATATAACCGTTATACACAAGAGTGTAAGAAACTCAACGATTATATGATTATATTATTCTATAGTTATGTTATTGTGTGTTTTTTATCTAAATGATCATAGTAAACTATTTTATTTTTAATTGTTAATGGTTCAAGAACTAAATCGTTGCATTTTCATGTTTTGTAAAAGGATCCAATTCGGTGCGTATATTTGTTGGTGCAGAATTAACCAATGATAACTTTACCTAATATAATTTATATTTAAGTTTGGACATTTTTAAGAAAACTAACAAAAAATAACAGTTGTACAAACATAACCTTAAAATAAAACATTTTTATGTTAAAAAAAACGCCGGTAAATGAATTTTGAAATAGTAAAAAAAATATATCTACGAAAGTCCCGGAACATAATATTATTTTGAAAATGGTAACTTAAAAAAAAACGCTGAAACAAGTCAACTTTGTTATTTTTCTTGGAATATTTTAGCCTATGTAGTTGTTCCAAAATCCGCCGTATTTTTGAATAGCTACTGTTGTCCTGAGTACATTGATATGCTACATGTGGGGGTTTACATCAGAAAATTTTTGAGAAAAGCAGTTTTTTGCCGCCGATTGATATTTTGATATTTAAACGAACTTATTCGCTGTTACGAGGCACCACCACACTATGCATTGCTAGTAAGGGATTATTTAAATCAGGTCTTCCCCAATCACTGGATAGGTCGAAGGGGTCAAATCGAGTGGCCATCGCGATCGCCCGTTTTGACCCCTTTAGACTTGTTTTCATGGGGACATCTTAAAAACCGCGTCTTTACATAGGCCTTAAAATTTGGAAGACCTAAGACACCGCATTCAAGCCGAGATCCAGATGATCACTCAAGCAGTACTGGCAAACGTACAACGCTCATTTGTGGACAGGCTGGCCCACTGCCAAATAGTTTACTGTGGACACTTTAAACAACTGCTCTGATTGGCTTCCCAAAAAACATTAAGCAACGAATAGATTGTGTTTAAGTTTGACAAAATACCAAAATCTCATTCGGCGGCTTAAAAATTTTCCCATGTAACCCTACAGATGTGGCATCAATGTAATCAGGACAACGGTAGCTATCCAAAAATGCAACAAAAAAGGGTTGTAATTTAAAAAAAAACTGATTTTGATTGTGGCGCCTCCACGCGGCAGATTTTGGAACAACTACATAGCTACATAGCCTATATAGGCTAAAATATTGCTAAAAAAATAACAAAGTTAATGTGTTTCACCGTTTTTTTTTTAATTTACTGTTTTTAAAATAATATCATGTTCCGGGACTTTACGGACACACTGTATATAATACATAATATAATGTTTTTGTTTTTTACCATTAAGTGAACACTTTTTCAATCAACGCTTTTAATAATGCATAACGCTGTTTGAATTTAGACGACTTTTTTGTTTTATGATTTTTACTGAATTGAAATGTTTACAATTTTTACGTAAATCATTACTAAAATGTGTATTTATTGTATCTAATAGGTACAATTTATATTTAAAGGGACTGCATGCAATTTATTTCTTTATTCGGGTATCCACTGTTTATTGGGAAACAACACAACAAATCGTTCCACGTTTTTTTTCTCGATATTTTTAACACTCGTTTGTTACATACGCGTTTGACAGCTGATTATAATTATATAATTTTAATAATTATTAAAAGTTTTAGATTGCTTACGATGATAACGATGGTACTCTTAGCAGAGCTGGGAAAGTTACTTCTGAAAAGTATCTAGTTACTTTTTTAAGATACTTTAAACAAAATAACTTAGTTACCTCTGGTAACTAGATACTTTGAGTTAAAAGTATCTTTAGTTACAAGATACTTTAAATAATATCTAAGATTCTATACTTTTGAGTAACTAAGATACTTTTAAGTATGAATAAAAACTATAAAATTATAAAATTTCAATTCAGTTGTAGGTTAGGTAACTAATTCGAATGACGGAATGGAATTCTCCCAATTTTCTCTAATAAAGCATCTAAGTTACACTGAAAAGTATCTGTTACTTTAAAAAGTATCTTAGTTACTTTAAAAAGTATCTAAGTTACTTTAAAGTATCTAAGTTACTTGAATGTATCTTCAGCGAGTAAATAAGATACTTTTTTAGATACAAGTTACAAGATACTTTTTTAAAGTAACTTAGTTAAAGATACTTTCTGTCCAATATAAAAAGAATCTAAGATAAAGTATCTTAGATACTTTACGTATCTAAGTTACTTTCAAGTATCTTATTTTTCAAGATACTCCCAGCTCTGACTCTTAGGGATGATTCTTTAGCGTATTGTTTAGTTTTTCTTAAAGAATTCAACATTTTCAGTGCACCTTTATTTAACTGATTAAATTATGTTATTTTTATAAGTATATGCGTTTACATTGTAAATATAGAGAATAAACTACAGTTTTAGAGTGTCTAGTTTATGCAGTACCATAAAATCTTTAAGATGACTGTAATTTTTTACAACTTTTATTTTGGCAGATGTTTTTTTTACTTTTAGACATGTATAAAAAATAAGGTGACAGGTATATAAAATGGTCTATGACTATTGTTTTAGATGTAAGGTTGGGCAGTTACCAATTTGGTTAGTTTTAAATTACCCTAAACATGAATTTAAATAAGCAGTTTTTAATTTTAATTATCCAATTTTGTTCTAATTTGCGTCATTATCAATTACCCAAAATATTTATTAATTAATGTGCAGTTTTTAATTACCCGATTTTAAATAAATTTAATAATTTAATTATTAATAAATATTTTAACGTGGAAAACACAAAATGTATGAAAAAAATAAAAGCGGAATTAATTTAAGTTAGGTGCGGAAAATAAGATATGTAATTATTTATGGAAGCAACGTGGTCTCTACGATAACCCGTGGAAACTAATTGCCTGCATGCATCCAAGCAGTGTTGTGGTATATTCAAGTCGAGGCGCCAACTTGCGAATGAAACATTGCCCATAAGTGCCAACAAAAATGCAATCAGCGCCAACGTCAGAATGGCAAAATAAAAATGCCGGAAATTAATTTCTTGTGATGGTTAATCCACAAAATTCAATAAAAACACGTAAAAGCATGATACCATCATTTTATTACTCTTACTTAATTTTATACTCTTTTTTTCTTCATAGTAAACCATTTTATTAACTGAATTAGATGTACAAAAGTAAAAAATACAACTTGGGAAACATCCTACTGTATATTAATAGCTATCTGTATATTAAGAGCGCAAAGTGATACATTGTCGCTCTGAGCGAGAAGTAGCGGAGCGCGGCTATCTTGCGAGAGCGGCAATGTCACTTTGCGCTCAAATTACACACAGGATTTTTTCTACAACCGGTATATCTATAAGAATGTTTGATAAAAATTATTAATTATTAACCTAAAATTTGACTTTTGTGTCAAAAGTCGTAAATACACTAAACGATTCTTTATTATGGTTTCCATGGTAACTAAGCGAGCGACAAAGTAACTTCCTGCATGCATTGTACCAATATTTTCTATTATTGCAGTTCCATGAACTTTCTCTTGTTTAGGTTTAATGTGGTTGTGTGATTCTAAATAAGCTTAAAATAGTTAAAAATATACTTGACCGTGTTCGCCGAAATAAACGGTGCCTTGTTAAATGATAGAAATGCTATTTACAAAAAGGGCTTTAGGGTTTATATTTTAAATTATTTTATTAAAATAAAAACTTTCTAATTTCTTCTTAACACCTAATTACTGCATAAAATTGGTTAATTTAGTTAAGCTTGATTTGATATGACTAATAATGCATTTTTCTAGTATTTTTATAAATTAAAAAAATTAGGCAGTAAAAAGGGGCAGCTATACCGATTTTTTATATCAATTATGACACAAAACTACCTCGAATTCGCGAAAAAGACGAGATCCTTTGATTGTCCTATGTAAAAATATCACTTTGTAATCTCGTTAAAATGGTATTAATTTATGACCCTGCATGCCGCAAACACTAGTGTTCGAAAGTCATGTGATGAAGAACTTGAAAAAGTACACAAAACACCAAAAATGACCAACCGGCAACGACATGCTGGGCGCCGACGAGTTGCTTCTGATCGTGTCGTCCGACATGACGCTGCTCGCTATGACGACGGACCCGCCGCCTCCGCTGCCGTGGGCGACGCCTGAGATTTTGGGGGCCACGCATCCGGTCATCTGGGGGACCGGCACGGTGTAGTTGTCTAAGCCTTGGCAGCGGAGCCGGTGCTCGCCCAAGCAGGCGCTGTAGGCGATCGCGTGCGGGATGTAGCTTTGGTCGAAGGTTCCTGCGGACAAATAATTTTGTTTACAATCATTCACGGCCTAGTTCATAGTACATGGAGACCGGATTTTACCTTAACACATTGCGTGTCACGTGTATATTTGGAAAGTATCCTAGGGGGCCATGAGCGATTATTGCTAAATCTTATAAATCATCGAAAAAAAATAGTAATTTTCCGAATTTGCTCGAACCAAATATACCAAAATGTTCGTGGCAGGCCACAAATTAATAACCCATAAGATAAAGCGTGTAGTGTCTAGCATATCTGCAAGACGCGGCCTGGTAGTGAATATTGTGTCTTGCATACGTGGCCCCTCAGGAAGTAGCACTGTCTGTCACATATGTCAGACGTGGCACGCAATGTGTTAAAATGCCCATCACCCCTTACTTAGTCCACCAAACAAACATGTTTAATAATATTGTTTATGCACGATGACAATTATAATAAAAATTCTTTGACATAAACGTCTTTTTATAGCCCGCGGGCGTTATTATGACCCAGCGGGCTATAACAATGTTACACCATTTGATATATTCGAAGTAAGTTTTTTCGTATTAAGATTTTGATTTTTCCGATTTTTCATTCATCTTTAAACTTTAAAACTGACTGATGTCAGTCTTTGACGTATTTAAAAACAATAATAAGTATATTAAAAATAATAATATATTAATCGTGCATAAAGTTTTGTATGCATTGCTGGCATAACTGGTTTTTATTGTCCTACGACGCTTTTTTAGCACTCGCGCTAACGCGCTCGGGCTCGAAATAGCGTCTCGGACCATAAAAACCTTATTATGCCCTTAATACATAAACAACTATTATAGTAAATTTAAAAGGAAACGACGTACTCGTCATTAATCAGCTGATCGGGCACGGTTGTCAATGTTATGCTAAAATCATTGCATCAAGTGAACGTGGTAGTGCAACTACACGGCGATAGATGGCGTTTACATGAATAATATCATAGGGTCCCTAGATTTGGGACCTTAGAATACCAAAATGCCAAAAGTCAGAGTTTTATAACCTATTTGATGCACCGCCAAAAGTATACTTTAGCTATTTTTAAAGACATTTTCAGCTATAAAACCCAGAAATTTTGCCTCTAAAGTCAGTCTCTATTTTGTTAAATATTCTAATATATAATTAATAATAATCCTATTTACCTCTCGAACAGCTGTTCTAAAACGTCAATTTCTTTTTCTATGCGTCATTTTATTAAGCAAAATTTTAATCTAAATATGACAACATTGCAATTGCTGCCAACTTAATTTGGTAAAAATTTATTAAAATATTCAATTACAGACTTCGTTTTTTACATTTAGTATTGGTACCAGTGCGCAAAATTATAACGTAATCGATGACTTGTACGTCGTTTCCTTTTAAATTTACTATACATCACAATCCACACAACAAGGTCTGTTCTATACCTCGTACTAAAAATCACTGCAACACTGTACAGAGTTTAACGGCGGCCATTTTTGTTGTTTACAATTTTTGTGCTTTGGGTTTGTGCTTTGTTTATACAGATTAATAATCGTTTTAAACGTTGTGTTTCTTACAGAGGCACTTGTACAACTATATTACTCCTCTTTTGTAAAAAATATACCTTATTTTATCAGGGCTGTCATCAAACTGTCAAATGTCAATTTTAAGGTTAATTTATAACCTACAAATTAACCTTCAAATTGACATTTGACAGCCCTGATAGAATACTGTATATTTTTAATAAAAGAGGAGTTAAATGGTTGTCAGCACTTAATTTGCGGCTTACAAGTGCCTTTGTAAGAAACACAACGTTTAAAACAAATATTAAACAACACAAACCCAAAGCACAAGAATTGTAAACAACAAAAATGGCCGCCGTTAAACTGTGTGGAGTGTTGCAGTGATTTTTAGTATTTTTAGCATGAGATAGAACAGACCTTGTTGTGTGAATTGTGGTTTACATCACAATCCACACAACAAGGTCTGTACGATCTCGTACTAAAAATACTAAAAATCACTGCAACACTGCACATCATACAATGGCGGCCATTTTTCTTACAGAGAGACTTGCAAGCCTTAAAAGAGACCTCAAAGTGGTAAGAACAATCATTTTACTTCTCTTTTGTAAAAAATATACCTTATTCTATCAGGGCTGTCAAATGTCAATTTGAAGGTTAATTTGTGGGTTATAAAATAACCTTTATTGTGCATTTTTCTACTTAAAATTATTTTATAAAATATAGTAAAGGGTCGTTTTGAGGGGTGGTGAATCCAGTGCCGTGCTTAGATTTTGTTTAAAAAAATCGCTAAACTAACAGTAGGCCTTGTATTTTGTACAAATATAGCGTTTTTTGCTTCAAAAATACAGTTTATCAAGATCTACTCTTTAAAACAAATCCGGTTAAAATCGCCCAATAAAGATTTTACAGGGGTGAGTCACAAACAAATGGGTCACACTGTATATATATTTTTTATATTATTTTAATAATTACTCTGCTAATTTATAGGCACCACAGCTTAAACGATTAAACAAAAAAAAACTAAAAAAATTCATTAAAACCACTAAAATTTCCTTAAGTACCTATGACATTTCGAAAAAATCGTCAAAACTTTCAAAATGACAGATCACATATTCAAAAAGTCTTTTACAATCTAGGCCTAATAACCTTTTATAAAAGTTATAACTAATACCCGAATAGAGATTTATTTTGAATCAAATTGTAAAAGACCACACAGAAAATCTTGCGTTTTCTCCTGGATACGCAAAATTCAGCAAAAGTTTTTTTTTCGATAATAAAGCTTGAGTACTGGAGAGTTTAAGAGCATTAACAAAAACGTGTAGTTCAGTGTAGATCTTGATATATCTCTAGTGAAATATCCATGTAATAAAATACAATGCCAACAAATAAGCTTTGTTTATAAACTTCCGCATAGCCACTTATAGATTTCGTACCAAATTATTTGAAAAGTTCGTGAATATTGCTTACCCTGCCTCTTATCGTTAAATATTGATACTATTTTTGGCGTTGGCCCAATATCTGTATTTTTTTAGTTTAGTTTTTTCTCAAAAAAGGCGTTTTATTTATTGAGAGAATAATGTTATTAAAAAAAACAGAATTATTTAACTAAAGAAAACTTACCGGAATTTAAAAAACTTAACCTTAATTAAAACTCAATACAACTTGTTGCTTAATAAACATTGCTAAATCTTTGTAGTGTGTTCCTCAGTGCACCACAATAAAACAATAAGAAATTACACTAATCGAGACAAAAACTATAAAAGATCAGCCAAAAGTTTTAAATAATTTAATCTGAATCAAAAAAAAAAACGCGTATTCAATATAGGCTGGGAAGCAGACTAAAATCCCCACCGTCACGGTGGCACCGTGTGAAAGACACGGAATTATCTACGGTCATGTGATAAAACCACCAATCGGAACAACCTAAGCTAATATTATTTCGCCTCAAAGCAATAGAAAAACGCGAACAGTTCGCGGCGAACTTGGCTGATATATTTCGCATTTAAATAGGAGCTTCCGAGGCTGTGAATAATTCGCCTCTGTCCTGCCGGCCTCAACGATGACGATAAACTTGACGCGCTTTGCGCCTGGATTTTTATTTACGCTTAGTATAATTGATTGGTTTTTAACTTTTATTGGGTTGAACTGTTGTAAAAATACACTTGTATTAGGCAAAAAGCTCAATACAAAAAGTCGTTCGTTTCTTCAAATTAAGGGTGAGAGCGCGGCCTCGGCGGCCTACCCTGACGAGCCGCCACTGCAATGATTACAGTAAACTGCATACGCAATAGGCCTGCACATGGCTGTAGCCACAATCCACACAAGTCTGTTTTATCTCGTTTTGCTTATAGAAAAAATCACTAAATACTAAGTTCTGATTTTTTCGGGAGGTGTAAACATCTCTTGGTGGAAAGTAGATTAACGCGTAAATATCAGACACATAAAGAACAACGATGGAGAATTTCTTCCAAGGAAAAATGCCTTTGAATTTTCAAACTCAAATATCATACTCATACTTTCGATTAAGGCTCTTGAATTGATTTGCAACTGAATAACTTCTCAGGTAAGCTCTTTAAAGAGACAAGAATTTATCCAGTTAGTAACACATTTTGTTCGACAGGCAACTAGACCATCTGCTTTAAGTGTTGAAACAATGTTAAGTAAATTAAAATGTTTTTGCTTCAGTTCACCCAATAATGGGTTATGTTAAGTCACTCGATGACGGTAGGATGTGAAATATTCCATCACCGAAGTGATCTTTCGCTTCTCTTATTTTTGAGTTTTGAGTTTTACCCACTGTAGTATATTTGATACGTGGCACGTAGAGCGTCCATACGACAGCAAAGAAACGGCCCTCGCTACTTGGACTTATCAGGGACACCACTATTAAAGACGTTTTATTTGTGCCAACGACTTCTTGGATGCTTCTTTTAAATTCGCTTATTAGCCAAAAATACTAGATAGAGGATTCAAAACATGCGTTCAGCTAATTTATTTAAGCAGTGTATTATGACCAGACAATTCATTAATTGTTTTTTATTTATGTAACTTAAAATAATAAATAAACATTTAAGTAAGTATACTTGCATACTACAGGGTGTCCGGAAATTAATGCAACAAAATTTGGTCACAAATTCTCGAGACAAATTTAGGAGACATTTATCTTTTAGTTTTGCCAATTGGCCCCTTTTTTCGGAGATACAGCCCCCTAAAAGTCGCCCATAAGAATAGTCTTTTTCTTATATCTCAGAACCTTGTTGTACGAGGATCACTAAAATTTGGTATACAGGATTTTTTTGATATGTGGAATCTGATAAGTGTTAAGGGCTGGGGCCACCCTTGAGACGCTTTTTTGTCTTTGGAGCCACAAAACTGGTTGCGTATTTTTTTTGCCGCGGCTGAAGATATTAGACAGATACCCAACATTCATGAACGTTTGCGGTCCTGTGCTGAACAAAACGGTTTGAAAATTTAATAAAATGGTTTTTATGTTTATTATTATTAACGTCTTCCTGCATTGGGCCTTCTTACAGAACCCGTCTTCATAAGTTGCCGGTGCACACGCGAAAACATAAAATGATATGGAAGTATTAGATGGGAAAATCGGCCAGCGTAAAGTCTACGCGCGAGACTTGAATTTCCATGGGCCTCTTCGTAAATCCGGTGCATTTGGACTTTTTCTCGCACGAAAAATCTCACCACTTTTTTCGAGAAAAACAGAAAATATGATAATCTGACAACCGATCAATGATAACTTTCAAAAAATTAATTTATTTGTCACTTGCGAGCGCCAGCCACCTACAATTAACACGTAAGAATTCGTATAAGAATGTCGATATGCATTCTATCGCATTTTTTAATTTTTCTCAACAACATTACGTTTTACAAAAAAGACAAGGGGGCCTACGAAAAAGCGTCTCCCCTGTATACCAAATTTAGTGATTCTCGTACAACAGGGTTTGGCAAAACTAAAAAATACTTGTCCCCTAAATTTGTCTCGAGAATCTGTGACCAAATTTTGTTGTATTAATTTTCGGACACCCTGTATAGTACGTAGTACAAAAAAGCGTTTTTTTTTTTTTTTGTTATAAATTTAAGCGCGCCTCCTAAAAGGTTAATTATACCTAAATTGAACAATTAACTAGGTTCTATATCTAAAAAAAATAACAGTAACCACCCATAAATCATTTAAATTAAAATATCTGGGTCAGAATTCCTGAAATCAACACGAAATAATTTTTGTTTAATATCATTTGAAACACGATGGGGGTAAATTTCATGTGAATTATCTCTACATACAAGGTACATTGTACAGGTAACTGAGCTCGATTTCCATTAGTTTAACTCGTTATCGTAAATTATATTATTTTGCCTATGCCATACATCACTTGTTATGTATCGATATTGATTAATGTCCAAATTGATGGTATAATTTTCAGTTAAATAAACAAAATTCATCATATAACAGAAACATGTTGAAATAAATAGGTTTAAACAGTAAAGTAGTAAGGCGTAGTAATAATTATTAACTTATTTCTATGGGTGTGCAAATATTATAAATCATTAGATAACAATACAGTTTATGTACCCGAGCAATTTTCTCATGTTTATCCACTTGTATGAAATGCAAAGGTAAATATAATATATTATTTGTTCTGTTTGGAACCCTTCAACATTCCTTTTAAGATTGATAGAACTCAAACATAGGAAAAGGAATGCAAATTTAAAATTTAAAAGAACGTCAATATAATAGAGTCAAAGTATTGAAATGTTACAAAGGGTCGTTAAAATATCCAAAGCAAATTTTTAGTCACCGAATGAAAAAGTGTGAGTTAAAAAAGAAGATGAACCAAATATGATTCATTTAGTTTAAGTTTAACTTTTTACTACTCTCTAAAAATGAATAAGTCAAAAATGATGAATTGTCATAGCGAAAAAGCAGCCACTAATAATTCTCGTCAACAGCAATTTGTATCCCGAACATTTAGCAGTCAAATTCCATGTAAAAGTAGAACAGTTTTTTGTTAGTGAAAGATTGCGGATTTCGTATTAAAATTTAAAATTTAGTATTATTATTATTTGGGAATTATATGGTCATGTAATTTTGGTAATTTTTACTTATCTTATTTATGCCGACGGTGGACTAGTGGTTAGTGCTGCTGACTACAAGCCGGAGGTCGTGGGTTCGAATCCCACCAGGGGTATGGATGTTTATTTGTGTTTGTCCTATTGTGTAATAGTCCTTTGAAGGGGACTTTAAGCCCGCGGTCCGTTCCTACCCCTAACCCGCACAAGCCATTCAGTTGGCTTCTGGGACTTCTTAGGAAGTAAGGGTGGAACTAAAAAGTATAAACTTTTTGTATGTAGACTTGGACTTTGGGTGCATTGCCAGGTAGATGTGATGTAGTTGTTCCTTAACCCCGACCGCCCACTTTAGTACGTGTGGTAGTCCAGAAAATTATTCGTTGAAACTGATCGTCGGACTCACACCTTTTATCCAGGTAAAACACTTGAGGACTTAAACCAGGGGGAGGTACCACACGCAATTTGCACTGTTTTTGCACTTGGATCTGGATCACGTGTAAAATCGTTATTAATTTTTGTTTTTTGAACAACTTTAGTGATGGCACTATGGAAGTACGAGCGCATTAAGGGAGCCCTTACCCAAGCGACCGGTCGCCTCAAGGTGCCGTGCGTTAAATATTGTGAACGAGTGCTCGATAATTAAATTGTAGGTTAAAGTTGTAGGCTTAAGGCTACATGGCCGCATAATTTAACTTTTTGAACTTAATTTAAATGTTTTCTACATGTACTGCAGCAGTTTTTTTTTAATCCCAGAATAATAAAAATGTATTTTTTTCTTACCAGCAAAAAGTGTAGTAGCAAGGGGTCCAAGAGCATAAACAGGGACGTCTTCTCCACCATGGGTGGCCCATTGTCTGGGCACGGCGGATGCATGGACTTGATTACGGTCCTCGGTAGCGCTGGTTGTATTCATTGGGACAATTCTTGGCGTAGCGAATCCAGGTCCGTTAGCGTAGAGGATCGTAGTGTAGGGCTGACCATCGACATCGGAAACTTTGCTGTCAATTCCTGAAAATAATACAAAAATGACGTGTTACTAAATCGTTTAGTGGTTTCAGAATCGCTGTCAAATAATATTTTACTCGTTTAAAAACCCTAGGGGAAATAATCCGGCATGATATGATTGGCGGTCAATTCGAGTTTCCTGTCTTTTATATTAATTTAAGTAAAATTTATTTTATTTCGTTGAAATCTTGCTTTATTTAACCCTCGAGCAGTCGCGTCCTAAAATATTTCATGAGTAGTCGCGTGGTGCAAATATGCTACCATCTGTAAATTATAGTTTTAGAACAGCTTTAATATTGTTTTAGGAGTAATTTATAAGTAAACAATATAAATAAAGTCTAAATGATTAGTTTTATATGTTTATTAAACATTTATTTATTATTTTACATATATATATGAGGCATTCCATGTCAACTCGGCCACCCCCTCCTGTGCAAAATTGACTAAAGTTTTTCGAAACGTGCAACTGATAAATTTTTAGCTTATCGTCTTAACTTTCAAATGCCGAGTGGTATTTTGTAAAATTTCAAAATGGCGGTGTCAATATAGTGACTGCAAGCAATATACATCACTTTAAAAAAACCGTATTAGGTAGTTTACATTAACTAACAGCGTTATAAAATTAAAAATTGAATTTGATTATATGCACTAATCTATTATCAGTGATTCTATGTTTTTTTTACCGCTGATTACACAATGGTTCGCCCCTAACCCCAAAAAAAAACTTAAAAAGCAGTTTTGTGAAATTTACAGCCCCTAAATACATTTTTAATACATATTTTTGCATTTGTTTTTTGTATTTCTCATTGCCTAATATAAATATGGCCTTACCTCAGAGTTGACATAAAACTGTATGTTCCTAACCTAAAAGAACTCTCAAAAAATGTATTTTTACCTTTTTTATAGCTGTTTAAAGCATTTTAAAGATTGGCATGAGGTTAAATTTTTATACTTTTTATCGCCAAGTACGTAAATAATTCAACTATAAATTGCAGACTAAGCAGTTTACCCCTAACCTTAAAAATATTTTCTAAAAATTAATTTTCTGCAGATACACATGCTGAAGAAAATTTAAATATGGGATGTATAGATTTATTTCCACACTTTCTATCGCTAAATACGATTATAATCTTTCTTTGACGGCAATTCTTCGTTAACCCATAAAACTTATCGTATGTTAAAAATATTTTTTATATAGTAGTTATTACATAAGAATATGCTAAAATTGTAATAATATACATCTACCGATAATTAAACTCGTACTAAAAATAATATTCTTTTGTGCTATTACCAAATAAAAATATACTCTTAAAAAAGTATTCGAATGCTCCAAATGGCCTCGAATTTAATTATCGTTAGAATCTGATATAGATAATTACAAATTCAGCATATTGTTATGTAATAACTACTATATAGTAAATATTTTTAACATATCATTTAAACCTCATTTTTATTGCATAGGTAGGATGCAAAGTTTTTTTAGGTTAACAAAGAACTGCCATCAAAGATCATAAACATTTTTAGCGATAAAAGTGTGAAAATAAATCTATAAATCCCATATTTCAATTTTCTTTAGCGTCTGTATACTGCAGAAAACTAATTTGTAGACAGAGCTAGCTGCAAGCACTCAGAAAACTTAAATCGTTTTTTTTAATTTGACTTAAGTCATTTGGTAATAAGTCATTTCTCTAAAACTTACTTAAGACTTAAAATTTAAGAAATTTTCAAAATGATTTGTGACCTAAATATTTTTTTCAAAATAGAAAAAACTTAAGTCATTAATAAAAGGCTTAAATCAGTACATACGATTTAAGTCAGATAGAAACAATTTAAGTCAAAAAAAGATTTAAGTTTTTTGAAAAAGATTTAAGTCTTTTTAGAAAATATTTAAGTCCGATTTTTCATATATTTTTTTATAAATTTTTAACAGCGGCATTTTCTTTTGAACTTCCAGGAGTTCACGCGGCAGCAGATCAAAAACTCCTTTAATTTCCTACCTACAATTGCTGCCGCTAGTGAATAAAAAAACCGCCGCGGTAAAGTTAGCTTTTCGGAATCGTTTGACGGCTACATTAAAAAATGTCCTGTCTAAAATGAATTTAAAAAAGTGGGGATTTATAATTTTGTTATTTTGTTTGCCAACATTCGTCGTGTTCGTGCGAAGTTAGGTCTAATTTGTGATTATTAGTGCAAAGTGGAAACAAACGATTAACTTGTAAGGACGAATAAATATTATAGAGACGTGTTTATATCATACAGGGTATTTCGGTTTGTTTAAGTAAAGAAGTACGACAAAAAAACGTGATTGTGCGTGAATAAAATTATTCAAACGTGATTGTGCGTGAACGTGAGCAGTCTTGAATTATTACAGTCGTGAGAGGTCGTGAATCGTGAACAATCGTGAATCAAGCGGTAGTGAATTGAGAGTTTGGAACCCATCATTACTCCCTTAAGGGAGGAATATTTTTTTTCTAGATGGATGTTGAACCAGTTAACAAAACAACAAGTTATCAGTTTTTGAAATACAGCAATTTTAAGAAAAATGCTTAAACTTTTATTTATTTTAACAGAGTTTGAATCTATTACCCATTTATGTATATAAAAAAGTAGCCTCCCTGTTTGACTACTGTACTACTAAAAAGGAGGTTTAAGTTTTTATTTTTATTGTCTACTATATACTCAAAAAAAGTGTTCTAAAAATAAATCGTTTTAAATTCTTAACATAGTGGTTTATTATCATCTGTATCTACAATAGATTAATAATATCAGTATCATTAATACCATAAAATTATTATTAACATTTAAAAAATCGTTGTATCATAAGATGACTTAAATCACTTTACCTATATTGATTTAAGAATTTGCGAAAATGACTTGACTTAAAAGAAAATGATTTAATTCAAAGACTTAATACTTAAATCATTTGAACTTTATCTTAGAATTGACTTAAGATTTAAATCATTTTGATTTTAGAATTAACTTAAGACTTAAGATTTAAGTATTTTTAAAACTGACTTGTTGCAGCTCTGTTTGTAGAAAATATTTTTAAGGTTAGGGGTAAACTGCTTTGTGTGCAGTAAATAGTTGGATTATTTACGTACTTGGCGATAAAAAGTATAAAAATGTAACCTTATGCCAATCTTAAAAATGCTTTAAACAGCTGTAAAGAAGGTAAAAATACATTTTTTGAGAGTTCTTTTAGGTTAGGAACGTACAGTTTTATGTCGACTCTGAGGTAAGGCCATATTTATATTGGGCAATAAGAAATACAAAAAACAAATGCTAAACCATCTATCAAAAATGCATTAAGCGGGAGTAAATTATGAGAAACTGCTTTTTTTTTGAGGTTAGGGGCGAACCATTGTGTAATCAGCGGTAAAAAATATATAGAATCACTGATAATAGATCAGTGCAATAAATAAAATTCAATTTTTAATTTTATAAAGTTGTTAGTTAATGTAAACTACGTATTACGGATTTTTTAAAGTGATGTCTATTGCTTGCAGTCGCTATATTGACACCGCCATTTTGAAATTTTACAAAGTACCACTCGGCATTTAAAAGTTAAGACGATAAGCTAAAAATTCATCACTTGCACGTTTCGAAAAACTTTAGTCAATTTTGCACAGGAGGGGGTGGCCGAGTTGACATGGAATGCCTCATATATATATATATATATATATATATATCAGAGGCTGAGTCACTAGTAACCATATCTTCTTCTATTTCCATCTCCGAATCTGAATTATGCTCTTCTTTGGTAACAATCTCTTCATCTTCTTCACTCCATTCATTATCATCCATGTCATTATCTTCCTCTATGTCAGACAAATCTTCTAAAAATTTTCGAAGCTCTTCGTCCGAAAGTCCCTTTGCCCTAAAATAAAGTAAATAGAATAAAATACAAATTTTTGGAAAGCTACTAATAATAATAATAATTACAGTTATTATTATTTTATATAATCAATATTATTCTTGTATTATTATATGATAATATTATATTATATAATCAATATTATTCTTGTATTATTATATGATACTTGTATTAGGAATGCTAATAATAAAAACAATAATAAAAATATTATTATACAAAAACTGGTAAATAAAATAAATTTTTTGGAAATTTTAAACTAGTAACACCAAAAAAAATATCACAATTAAAAAGGAAACAAATAAAAATATACTTACATGATTGGGCGCGTGGTAGCAAAATTGCTCCAATTAAATTTGAACCGTTGTAGACAAACACACTAACAAAATATCTTGGAAGATACTGAGCGGTATATTACAAATAAAACACTTGTTCATGCGCCACGCCCTCATTAAGTATTATTGGTAGCATATTTGCACCAACGCGACTGCTCGAGGGTTAAGACTATCAAATTTTGTCAAATATAACAATAACGTTTAATATTAAATTACTTTGTTTCGGACTTATACATAATTTATTTTTAATGAAATTTTGTTAACCATTTATTTATTTTAAATTACCTACTTTTTTGGTATTCATTATTTTAATTATTATTGTATAAAATATTGTTTAAAAAAATAACAAAATTTCAATTCATAAAAGATTTCACAAACATTAAACTGGAAAAGGTTCCAATAAGGTGGTATTTTTAATACAAACACTTTTTTGTACAAAATCATGTCATAGGGGAAAATAACGGTGTGACGTCATAACTCAAACGAATGAATTTCAAATATATATTTCAAACATCAATCAGGACAAAATTAACAATTTATTTTTAATATAATATATTTTATTAACAATTGTTGATACAATTCACTTTATCATTAATTATCAGATGCGTATTATAAAATATAATAATATATATATATATTAGGGTGTCCCTTATTTTTTATTTTTTTACGCATACCCTCTAATTATATTTATTACGTGTTTATATACTCCCAGTAAAAATTTCAGCTCATTCTATAAACGGGAACCCGTGCCGACTTGCATCTGAACCCTCCGTGAGCCAACGTTAGGCGCGCGGTATTTTGT